CGGTTGACACGCATCGTCACACTCCATTAGTCTTCCGGGGATCTCATTGTGGTTGCAGGTGCTACCGAGAGTGAAGGGTTATTTCTATTTTATAGTGAATTAAACCGTGTTTTACCAAATGGCGACGATAGAACTGGCGGGCAGAAGTCTTTAGAAGTGGAAAACCATCATCTTTTACGCGGAGCCCAGCTTTTCTTCGGAAATATGTGAGTTGAAACTTTGGCTTCATTGCACTCCGGAGAAATCCGGACATTCGTCGTATTCAATCGCGGTTTAGTTCTTAGAATTGTCTTTTGGAATTTAGATATTAGATTTGTTCTCATATTAAATTTGAATGGGAATTATTGGGCGTTCAATTTGATTTTGGTTTAATTAATTCGTGCGCAGAAAAGGTAGCTATTTTGTTGCATAGGCAATGAAGTTTAGAACGTGGTCACACGAGAAATAGAGTCAAATATCCGCAATAAAAAATTAATACACTAAAGAAAACAATATCATATTAGAACGCGGTAATTTTGATTTTTCACTTATTTAATGTAAGAAGCATTCCATCTTTGAAAATTTTATCTAACGACTACGGGGTTCACACACCGACGCGCAGGACCCTTAAAGTGGTTCCATTTTTTCGACCAATCACGTTCGAGCTTCTGACAGTTGACTTTGAACTTCGCAGTTAAAACATCGTGTTCCTTTCGCTCTTCAAAATTTTCATTTTTAAGTGGGTTTACCGTGTTTATATTGTCTAAATATACGTCAAACGTGAAACTGAAAGGGGAGAAATATGGTGAACGTTTTATTGTGATGAATTGACAACTAATTCGAACGGAAAGTGAGTTTGAAATTTTGTTGTCCGTGGCTTCACCATTTTGCTTTACTTCGTTCCTTTCTACGACGAAATAAAACCCTTTTCATACATTATTTATTGTTCTGTATATCTATAGCTGGAATATTTTTGTAGCTTTTCAGGAAAATACTCAGAAGAATTTGGAGAAACTATTGTGGAAGACGTTTCCAGTGGTTTCTATTCAATTGAGCCACGACCAGGATTACAGTACTTGTGGTATCATGTTTATTATTCATTTATATTATTCAGTTATAATAGATACACTAGATACACTGATGATATTATTTCTTTAACTCAACTTTCTGCATTGTTTGCTCCTGCTTTCTCCATTTCGTGTCATTAATACTTAATTCTTACAGAAAAATTGTCTGATCGTGCGCAATACGATCTTAGAATCAGTGTTGGAGTCGCAGCGTTTTTTATTTTTTATGGAGCACGCGCGTGGTTCCAAATGTTGTTTACACCATCGCGATGTTAGAGTCAGTGTTTGTTCGCCGTACAGAAATTCTCGGTCGCGAAATGTATTTCAGTGGCGTCGCGAATTAGAGTCACTCATAAATCAGCGGCGGAGAGGATCTCCATCGGGTCTCGCTTTATCACGGAATACGTAAGTATAAAATCTAATGAGCTAATGCACATTAGATATTTTATGAAGACTTTACTTAAAAAATGTGATCTCTTTTTTATTGCAGATACGGAGGAGCTACCGTGATCCAAAAGGTTACCGAGGGGTTGCAGCCGTTCGACATCGTCGAGTACTCACCGACCGGTGAGTCACTGAACACCAAGTTTTATTATTTCATGAAAGTGAGCATAACGACACACGAGGGAATGTGTACTCGTGTGAAGTAAATGTTAGGAATTTTTCATCTTATTTTACTTTGTGTATTTATTAAAATAGGCTAGGGTTTTCTTGCCTCTTTTTCGAATTAACGTTTAGAGTTGAAGTCGGATGACCCTCCGATTTCACAAATGAAATGGTGTTTATTCATTATTATACTTATATAACAGTCAATAACAATAGGCATTAAATGTATATTTTAAACAACAATGCAATGTTTTGAATGTATTTTCATACGTAGTATTCATGGGCAAGAAGACATTTCGCGATGGTTAGACTCTAATTTCGAAGTAATACTCGCATGTGCATTTCCTGAAATTTCAATGATTTACTTCGAAAGAAGATCGACCGAGGGTATTGTTAAATATAAATGAATATTGAATAATGGAGTCTTTTTATTGAAATAATTCTATACTTCTAATAAAGTAGAGTCATTTTATAAAGGATGAATAATTAACATTACTTTGATAATATAACTTGCTCGAAATCAATGATTTTATATATAGAACCGAAATGAAAAATTAGTCCGTTTACCTATACCACTAATTACCATTTTAGTTCAGGATTTTCAGCGAACGAAGGTATGTGAGACTTCCCTTGCCCATACCTATTTTTTTCGCTTGAACCCATTAATGGACCCAGGTGTCTATTATATGGGTTAAAGCGATGGGTATGGTTTAGTGATAAGACTTGTTTGTAGCGACCGACAATGTCTAGCGTGTCGTGCACGATGTATTACTCCCAGTAACATATGAGTGAGTGTATGGTTAGGTAGTGGGAAATGCATCGGTCTTAACTTTTAACATTAACACAATTTAATTTGAAAATAAGATAAGATTTACCAATTGCATCAGTATATTTATTAAAAGCAGTTATTTGATAATAAATCAATGTTCATATAAAAGTTTCCGTACATTATATTATAAAAAGCTCTTACAAACTATTGTAAGAGTACTTTAAATATTCATTACATCAAGATTGCATCAATATTGCAATGACTGTTAACAACAATTCAAATACGATTCAATATAAAAATCTATAGTACATCAATTATTTAGAGTATCGCAATGCGCGCTAGCTTGTCAGTCGATTTCAGCATTGGTACGTATTCCTAGAGTATGTCTGTTGGGTGCTACAAGCTCGGGTGATGGAGGCGTCCCGGGACGCATCTCCCTAGTTCAGGCCCTTGCACCCGGGTGTTATGTGTGAGAATCGTGGAGTGTGTGTGTTGGAGAGAATGCGTTTTGTCACCTTTTTAGATATAGGGATAGGTAGGCAGGTAGCTTACTATTGGTGTGAATGTTTTAATTATAAGTAGGTAGGGCCAGGACAGCAGACCATCACATTTCTCGCTCGGGTAGGCTTGGGGTTCGCGTGATGAGTCTGCGCCTGGGATGGGATAATTGGTATCAGTCGATGTACAATTAACTGATACTAATTTCACTGTGGTATAGACCTAGTTTGTAAGTTCGTCCGCGGCACTAGGCCCGGACGAAAACCAGATCCGCTCAGAGATTCCATTACCTTCACACTTTCATTCTTTTCTAATATAATTACTTGGGAACATTTGAGCGGATCTATTGGGCATTGCCTGAAGAAAGAAGAAGATAACGACGACAAGGAAGATGCAGCTATCGAAGAGGATCTTGAGGAATGGCTTTCCATAGTTTCTATGAAAAGTCATTCTTTATCGTTTTTTGAATATACGTTTTTTATAATATTATCGTTATGCTCACTATATGTATTGTTGTATCATATTGCCAATTCTTCTTTCCCTTTCTATTTATTTTTCTTAGTATCTGAAGTATTTCGTTTAGAAACATTTAAAGTATAGGATTTATTTTAGCAGTAATTTTATTACTGATTAGTTTGAAGATATTAACTATTATAACTGTAGCACCTGGCAATTTGAAATAGCAATACTTTTGTCATAATATTATGTAGGTATCTTTTCTTTTACTTTTTTTGCAGCCATATTTCATGCAGGTATTTCATGCAGATGCATCAGAATGCATTAAAGTATACAGTGACATATAATACAAGCAAACAATGGAGAAAGACATAGATATTTTCATAATTAAATAATTCATGCAACTAGTGATCAAAATTCATCATATCACTGTTTTCACTTCTTTTCCATTTGTCTAACATTCCTTTATCAACTCTTACTTGAAAAACTGTATTGACTCAATCTTATCTTTCTTGAACTAAAGATGCACTTTTTCTGTTTTAGAATTCCAACTGCATTTCCTCTGATTCTTACAATCCTTCATTTGTCTCATTTTACGTTACAGATTTTTTAATCTCTTCGTTACAACTTTCTTCATTTTGTAATAATGAACTATATATTTTATTTATATCCGACTTATGTTTCAGATTAGAAGTATTCTGGACAAGATTCACTGCGGTATTGTATCCGACACTAGTTGCAACTTTAACTAGTACACATCTCGTTTATTGTTCGTTGCCTACAAATCGTTTTTAATTTCGTTCATGTTCACTTTTCATCTTGGTGTTTTTCTCCTAATTCGACGAATTCGTTTGTACTCTGTGCCCATTCTCATGCTTCCCCTACTCTCGCGATATCAGTTAACGTGCTAGCTGGTGCACGGGGAGGTTCATTCATCTCTTTCATTCACGAGACTCCACTTTCACGGGTGCGTTGCGCTTCCTTGTATTCATGCGTTCTTGTTACCGGTTCCCCTTACCTTCGTTCAGGTTTAGCTCCGCTTTCGGGTAGGGTAGAGTTCAGACTCGTTATTACCATCTTCGCACAGGTGAATCTAGCGTTTCGTAAAGGTGCAACGATGGCATCGCTTTGTCAAAACACAAGTGTAAACAGCAAAATCATTTGCACCGGCAGGGAGTATGGGCGCGTTGTATCGGAAGTTGATCAGCATTACTTGTCATTTAATCATTGATTACCCGACACCATTACCATTACCCCAACATTATCATTTAATTATTGATTCGATGGCAAACAATGCGAGCTAATTGCCTGTGAAGTTTTCCTATCAACGACTCGAATTCATAATTATCATATCGTGTCCATTAATGCACCACCGACGTAAAGCGAATGTAGAAATTACAGCTAATATCAGCTCTATAAAGAACTTTTTTCTTTGCATTCCTAGTCTAACGAAGTTGCCAGTAGAGAAACCGCAATTCTGTTTCCTTTTTCGTTCGGCAAGTTAGCTAATCGGAAACGCCTGCGCATGCAAACGAACGCGGTCCAATTACGAATTTCAAAGGAAACTGTAATTGGAATTAGCGGCAGTAGCTAATCCTCGGTAAATCGGGAATCAAAGCACGTACCTGTCGAAGGTAAGGCTGTCCTGACGGTAATCGCAACCATTGCAGCCGCTGCACCTGGACGATAAGTCTGTCTCTGGATCGGTATCGTAGGAACGATCTTGATCCTTCCGGTGCTCCGCCACGATGCTCCAAGTTCTATGGATAAGGTAGAACAGGTAGAGCTGTTTGCCTCGCCGGCAAGGCTGCGATCTAGCGTTCCCCATCGCGTCTTCCAATTAAGCTGCCTAGGTTTCTCAGGCACCACTTTAAATCGGCTCCCAGATGCGAGAACCGTTAATCACTCCGCCAATTAACCTCTGTCCCTCGGCCGGTTCTGTATCGCAGTTAAAATTCGACGAGGTATCGTTCCCGGATTACTCGATCTTGTTCGGCTCGTAAGATTCGCTCGGCTGATTAAAAGAAACGGGCGTAATTTGTATCACGCGCTCGATGCCCGCGGTCTCTCTCCGTCCGCGGAATCCCCGCCTCATTATCGCCGAGATATCTCGGCCGATACGCCCACATTCCTCGGACAATGAGGGATTTTTTCGTCGGCGCGATGTCTCTCACCGATACCGCGGTATCCGCGGCATTGTCTCGCGCCCTCCCCGCGATTGTCTTTAGCTTGCGTAATTACGGTCCGCGCGCGGCTGCGGCAGCGGCAGCGGCAGCGGCGGCGGCGGTGGCGGCGGCGGCGACGACGTCCCGAACGAAACGAGCGTTTATTATAAAATAGCCGAGCGGGTTGCGGGCACTTCCTCGAGTGGCGAAAGGATTAAAACCGAGCGCGCCTTTACGACGCGACTTTATTAAGATATCGCGGGGTATGCAGATTCATAAATTGTCCTTAAGGCCTTTACGTGGGATCGTTTTATCGTCTGTTGCCGTTCTACGACTCTCCGGCGGAGTCGTTTTATTTGGAACGGCCGGCCGAGACGCGGACCGCATTTTTCTCTTCTAACATGTTTAATACACGCCGTGTCCGCGCGCCGCCGCGCAACTATACTTTTCCTCTCCGCTCGCTTATTAAATCCACGGTTCCCATTCGATCGGACGGCCGGTCGGTGTTTCTCCGATGGAATCGTTCGGCATGCGGTTTCGCAATTAAAATCGCGTTAGAGGATTCACTCCGAGGATCCGCAGGCTCGTCCTTGTGCCGGGTTTCGCGCGATCTTTATCCGCTCGCCGGGTCTTTCTTCACCGCGCGACGTCGTTGATGCCCTTAGTGTCACTGTCGCCGGTGTTCCACTCGTCGGCGGTTCCCACACTCGTTTCGCTCGTCCTGCGACCGTTCGCGCACTCGAATGGAACAGAACGACCGCCTGCGAAACGCTCCTGCGCGCATCCTGTCTCCCGACTGTCAACGGCCGCTCGCCTGCCAGTCGTCCGTTGTATCTTCGCCCGCGATTATTTCTTTGCGCAGAAGTAACGGCTTGACGAGTCCACTTCAGGCGACTTCTGTTTTTCGCGCGACGACCGTTCGAGGGAATCTTCGCGTCCGCCTCCTCGTCGCGAAAGGCACTGCTCGTGGACGCGTCCGCGAGTCGACTCGGCTCCCCGCGCGAGCGTAGAAGCGGTTTGCTCGAGCAACGCGCGAATTAGGATAAGTACGTGCGAACGGTCGAAAAAACCGAGGCAGACGGCGCGCCGAGAAAACCCAGTGATCCACTGACACGCGAAAAATTCTCGAAACCGTTATTACGCTGCGTTACGAGCTCTGCTCTACACGGCGGACTGTTTTCCTTCCGTTTAAGGCAGTCGGTTTCTTGCTCCGTTCCGTGGAACTGTTCCACGTCGCGCGGGCCCCGCGATTTTCACTTAAATTGCCGCGGCCGTTCTATAATTCCGAGCGAGGAAATTACGATATTCCCGGCACGGGATTACGGACCGTTTAGGTTTCACGGGTTTCGAAATAGTCGCGATCGCCGGGCTCCTCTGGGCGGTGACTCCGGTGTTTACTAATAGGCATCGACGGACTCGCGAAAGTCGGCGAGGAGAGAACGTTTACCGAAAAACGTCACCGCGGAGAATCGACTCGCGCGGTTTTCACTGTCGACGCGCGCCGCACACCGCACCGATCGGCGAGGCGAGGTGAAATTTCACAGCGATTTCGGGCCGATCAATTAACTTCCTGCCTCCCCGCGTCCAGTCACATTTCACTTTCTTCGAAGTCCTGTCACGCGTGAACGCTCGGCGCTCGGCGCTCGGCGCTCGGCGCTCGGCGGTTGGCGCGCGATGCGCGATGCGCGGTTTTCGCGAAACAAAACGGCGGAACGTCGCGTGACGGAGGGCGGCGGGGCCGCGACGAAGCGAATTTCCCTGGCGATCACGGGCCCCGAGCGCGAAATTGCTGCGTGCACACGAGCTAGCCCCTCGGGTGCATCGAAAGGTCGGTAAAAACGCGTGTGCGAGAGCCTCGAGAGGCATTCACCGGGCGGGTTTCAAGAGCCGACTGCCAACTCGTGAATGCCCCGAGGTGCACGTGTGAGCATCGCCTCTCTCCCAGCGAGACTCTTCTCCTCTAGATCTCGCCTCGCGGTTGGCGCTCTCACAATCAGCCGCGCGCCGTCCGAGAGGACTCCGAGACTCTGGGTCAAGCCGCGACCTACGTCGCCGCGACGGTGTTCTATGAGGCTCGCAGCGAATACGCGAGCAGACTGCCAGGATTAATTCAGTAGGTCAGGTTCGAGCGGTCCGCAGCCCGCACCGAAACCTGTCCCGGATGATCGATTCGCGAGCGGACGCGCGAACGCACCCCGCAGATCTATACGATCGATACACCTCCGCCGAACGGAGCTGGCGTCCGCAGTGCGCATACGCGGCCGACGAGAGAGGAATGGGTGGGTCCGGCTCCGCCCATTAATTTACGGAGGCAGCTATTGGCCTACGACCGAGGTCAACGTATCCCTTATTGTGTGAACTGATTTTTTTCCATCCGGCCGCGGGATCGGCCAGGGCGAGTCGCAATTTCCAATAATTCCTTGCTCCGTCCGTTTCGCTTTTGCAAATTCGAGTTAACGGTTTCTAATTGGCCGAGTTGCTCTCCCATCGGTTATCGCTTCGAGTAGCTTCTTGTCTCGTTCGTTTCGATTTTATACGCTCGACTCGCGGCCTCTCCGATGAATTTCTACTCCCGAGAATATCAAATTCACTCAGCGAGATCTTTCCTTGAACAATCGTTACACGTCGCGGCGGACGTTAAGCGATTAATTAGTCGGCCGGTTTAGCCGGCGGTAATCATCTGCCCGAGCCGTGGAACTCGATCAGCGTCGATTTGCATCGAACAAGACGTTTCCGATTTTACGACGAGCTTTGTTGGGTATTACTTATTTAAACGGGAAGTCGTTTCGATTTTACACGCATCCCACGATGCCGGATGAAGTCCTCTCTCGTCCGTTGAACGGGCTACGCCTGAATTGCCTCAGTCGTCGAGGTAAAAGGTGAAATACCAGACAAGCCTTCTTCGTAAAACCTCGTCCGTGGCATTAATAAGACGCCTCGCAAAATAGATACTTCCCTTCGCCTGTAATCTGCATCCTGCGCTCTCGCGAGTACGTTCGCTTTATTCGGATCTCGTTTAATAAGCGAAGCGATTATTCGCCGAGAGGAGCAGCTCGAGTCGAGCGAGGCTGCCGCGTCGAGAAAGGCGCGAGCGCTCCGCCAAAGAAACTCTTTTCTCCTATTCGTTTTTTGCCCGTTCGCGCCGATTTTTCAGCCGCCCCTCCGCCGTCGGTACATACGCGAACCCCCGTTAGGTCAGTTCGCTCATTTCACTGTGATTCCATAATGAAAGGTAATCAAGTACCGCTGCGCGGTGCGCGGGATTCGCAAGAAGCGTTGGTTTTCGCGTCTGGAAATGGGTCTGCGATTCTGTTCGTACGGTGTGCGTAACAGCCGCACGAGAAGACCCGTTTAATCAGCGGACCAGGGAAAACCGAAGAAAAACGTTCCGCGGGCGATACGATTTATTGTTGCACAGTTTCGTGTAGGTCCAGGACCGGTGACCGGTGCTCGTCGATCATCGTCATTCCGCTTTCACGGTGCCGCGCCGCCGCACCGCCGCGATCGAACCACCGCAGTTGCATTACCGTTTAATCCCCGAATGATCCTCCTCGCGTTTAACGAGTTAATCTCTCATCGTCCATCATCTCGCTCCGCCAAGTTGCTGAAAAGCCCGTTTTGCTGTTTCCCGTCGGCCGGAGATAGACGGGGTCCATTTGGAGAGTCGGTTTTCCTCTTCAACGATGTTTCTTTCCGCTATTAACTTAACTCTGCTCGATGAATAGATTGGACCGTAAGTCGGCGTAATCTCGACTAATAAAATTAACGTGTTTGGTCGGGTGGAATCAACGTGATCGGCGAAACCGCAGGCGGAAACGTGTCCCGAGAGCAGCCGGTCACACCGCTGGTGGGTCGCGTCTCGCGTTTCGCGCTTGACCCGGGACATAAGCGGCCACTAATGGCCACTGTAAATCCTTGGGCCAGGGCAACAGGTTTCGGCTTTTAACATTGCCAACTGGAAGCCGAACCCCTTCGCGTACAATCGCTTCTGGGAATCGTCATTCGTTTTGTGTGTCACTTATTCTCCGCCATTATACTGTTGCGTTTCAAGTCCCCGAGCTAAAAGCTTTTCCATTACCATCGTACGTCGATATTATTAATTGCTGTTTCTTCGCGTAAATCCTCTCTTTCATCTCGAAGATTACCGTTCGATTCAGCCCATTCAACTATCTCTAGGGTGCACGGAATTCTGCTGTATTTGTACACCGAGGGGTGATTCACAATGTCGGCGAATCGAAGGTCGGCTGCACTGAATGCATTTGTGGGTCGTAATCGTGCGCGGCGTTACGCGGCGAATGTTCTCAGCCAAAACGGATTAGGCGTACGGCGCGCGAGATAAGTGATTGCACTCGTGCATCATACACTCGTGGAAAGAAACCAAGGTTGCTTCCGGCTTCTTGCGCAACATCGGGAACAAGGAAATGCAACGATACGCTAGCCTCTGATCGCCGAGTAAATTCTTCCTAGTTTCAGAGACGCCGTCCCGAAGAGAAATCGCGTTTATCTTTGTTCCAAATGGAAGATCGTATCTATGATTGGCCGAGACGTTTTGCAATTTTAATTTCTCTTTCATTATATCCCCAGCAACGATCCTGCAGCGTTCTTAATCGTTAACGCGTTCAATTCATCTACCACTTTTCCATCGTCCTCTTCAATAAAACATCAGAAGCATCGTTACAAAACAGAACCCAGAGAAAAGTGATGCAACGGTGTACATTGAATTTTCAAATCTCCCCTTAAATGAAGATTAAATGAAGATTATAGAGTGTATTTCACTTGATTACCGAGGTGCGGTTTCAATCCAACGACCGTGTAAAATAGCATATCCTCCAAGTAACATTTACCATTATTAAAACTTCATATAATCACAGACTTTTCATTGTTCCGTGGTTCTAAACCCCACGATAAGGAAATTTATTCGAAACGCGAACAGTTCAAGTTTGCCACTTTGCAATGAAGCTTTTCAAAGAAATTTGAAAAATAGAATTAACCGATTTAACCGACGAGGGGCTGAAACGAGAAGGAAACAAAGTACAACGATAGACGTCGGTCATCGAAGAAATTGAGCTCTGGATTTCCCTGAAGAACCAGTTGGAATGAAGCGCGTCTGCTCGATGGTATCGCGGTTCGCGCGCCGAGAAGATTGTTGCAGCTCACGACCGGTCGGAGATGCAACAATTTCGACTCGTCCCGATACCGTGGCGCATATTACAGTAACCTTTGCGTAATGGCGTAATGAATGAAAGCGCGATCCTTTCACGCGGAGGCAGTGACCTTTACGACGGACGCCGGAGGATCGTCGATCTCCTCTCGCTCGCGCGGCCGCGAAACGACGCGACGAGCTGCCGGTTAATCCGTGAGTTAGAATGGATCCGACTGTTGCGATTCTACTGGGTCAGATTCACGCTTGACCTGGCCCGAACGAACGGATACCCGCCGTAACCATGTATCAAGCCTGGCAAGGATATACCGGTGCTTCCGGATGCTTGCGCAACGTCCCGGGAACCAGGAAGCCGCGAAAGAAAACGATAATTATTCGACCGGCGCGGACGGGAGGAACGGACGGACGTTGTCCACGATTTCAAGAGCCAACCAAGTAGGTCTATCGTGCCGGGAACGTGTTCGATTTGACCTGTTGCCGCATAATACCCTCCGCAATTATGCCCGTCGGTTTCACTTTGCTATTAACACATCGTCCGGCGGTAGCTGTTGAACAGTTTATTCGATCGATAATCTGAGGATTTCTCAAACAAACTATTAATAGGAATCGCAACCAGTCGGCGAATCCTGTCGAGTAAGCTAATTTCTGTCGATTCGAAAATTGATTTAATACAGTCTCAATCTATATGCGACGAACGACACTGATCTCTTTTAAATTGACCCAGAATTCCTCGTCGCGAGTTTCTCTTGTCGTACAGCAAAGGGTTAACTTCTCAGGAACCGAGAAACTAGTTTACAGAATAAAAAGAAACTAGTCTAAATGGCGATGCCATCAAGTGGAAGCCTCGATAGATAAGACAAAGAGGAAAACTAAGACGACCCGATGATATCGAAGGAAGTTGACGCTCGGGGGTTCCAAGCGAATCTGTCGGCAAGATTTTCCTTGGAAAAATCGTTTAATTGGGATCCGACTTTTGCTCTTCGATGCTCGCTGACTTATTAACCGGCTCGTTCGCGATACCGCGCGCGTCGGATCGATCGCCTTTCACGTCGATATCGGTCTTCGCTCCCCCTCGCCGTCCAGCAGAACCGATATAGTACCGATTAAGGCGTTTCATACGTGTTTCGCGTATTCCAGGACCACCGAGAGCAGCCAGTCTCGAAACGAGTTCGCGATTACCTAGAAACGCTTTCAGAGATCTCGGTGGTATCGCGCGGGAATCCAAAGATTACAAGCTTCCCCGTGATGAGCCGGAAGAAGCAGATCGCCGTGGTAGGGGGAAGAAGAGGGTCGTAGTCGCATAAAAAGATATTGTTCTGAAATTACAGTGGAGAGGCGCAGCCGGAGAAGGTTCGGTTCGATAGGCAGAGGCGGTGCCCTCAGCGATATCGCGTTCACGCGCGCGATCTTACGTGAAACGAAGACGCGCGGGTTCCACCGAGAAAACGCGCACCGAGATAGACCAAAAGAATCCTAGTTACCCCGTGTAACGCGATCGTTAACGTTCGAAAAACTACCTTGCCGAGGATAGTATTCAAAAGTTAAAAAACGCTATATTTTTTACATTTCCTATACATAGTCGAGAGGAACGTGTCTACTAATCCCCTGTTGTGGCAACAATTTTTTCTTCGTGACAGTTGGTCGTTGTACGAGGCGTTGAAACGATCGATTGAAAATATTCCAGATTATTTGGAATTCTCGATGCGTGTTACAGAAACGCCGAGTGCCAGGGGGTTGCCGGTATCGGCTCGCCAACCGTGCGTAACACCTATAATACTCGTGTGACCGTGGTTTTCGCGTCCAGGATATACCCCGGCGTGTAGGCAGCGCGTCGGAGACACAGCGGTCGGGAATATTACGTAAGGTTCGCGGGAGAGAGAATGATCGTCTAGTGGAAAGCATGTCAATGTGGCAATCGGACTATGTTTTTGCTAATGGCAGTTCCCTTTTTTCCATCCGTCCGATTCTCCCCGCGATTCCAGGCACCGTCACGCTCGGCTCGAGCGAAGTAAAGCGTAATCGAATCATCACCGGCGTGAAATTGCGCGAATCGCGGAATTGCGCAACGTGCGAGTGAATTCGCGGAGGATTGCCACTTTGTTGGATCTGGATGGGATTCTTTGCTCGGTTGTTCGGTGTGACAGCGCGACAACCGGACGGGTGAACGGTTAATCGCCGGTCGCCCAAGGCGGCTAATTAGACAGAGTTAAAAAGTGGACGGACCAGGATCGCCGCTAAGTGGAACGAGGTGTCGTCCGTCGCATCACTCACCGACTGACCCATAAACTTGGCTCGCGTGAACGCCGAATTCTAGAGGCTCGAGGCTCCGAAACGCCTGGGAATTAAAATTCCTCGTTCCCCCGTTGACTCGCGTTTCGCTAAACACGCGGCGAAGCCGGGACCGCTTCATCGTGGTCTGGGAAACGAGCGCGCGTCGAAACCACCGCTCCGATAAAAGTGGATCGCCTCTCAACCTTCGCATAAACAATCTCAACCTCGATACCGGTTTGCGCGGCTGCCATTCGGTTCCAATGTCGCACGCGAAATTCGTGACTGGATCCACTACCGCTGGAACCGTGTTTCCAGCTCGTTTCCTTCGTCCGATATCTCGAGTTAACTCTTCGTCTCCGGTCTTCGTTAATTTTCTTATCTTCCAATTATCCCATAACCGCAACATACCAGCCTCGTCCGCGTAAACGTTCGTTACAAAGTTTTTGTGAAACTATTTTCATCCAGGTTGATTTCTACCCGCGCGCAACGCGAAAAGAGAAAACGTTCGCTCGCTTTGTCAATGGCGTTTCCAAGTCGCGCTGATGGAGGCCAGGGAAATTACTGTAATCTGCCGGCTTCCATTTCATTCTAATATCGCACGAAAAATTCCTGATTGCATCCACTATGCACTTTATATTCGTGTCTTCCTGTTCGCGTCGGCTCGTGAAATAACCAGTTAACTGGTCATATTCGCGTACCACCGGGCTATAGTAATTCCCTTATCTTCCATTTATCGGATAACTGCAACGTTATAGTCGGCTCCGCATTAACGTTCGCCGTAACAGATTGTTCGTAAAGTTAATTTAATTCGACTTCGTTTCATCTCCGCTCGCGCACAATGTGCCGCGAGACGGAACGTTCGCGCACGCTTCTTTGTCAACGGCGCGCCGTTTCCAGCCCGTCGATGAGCGCCAGTAGAATTACTATAATTGCGCGGCCGGTATTACCCGGTGTTTCCAAGCAATCATCCGGTTAGCAGTTCGGAATTACGGTTGCCGGTGGAAAATGCAGAAACGAGGGTCGAGGAATTACGTTTCATCGAGGAAAGTTGAACAGTTTTTTTCCCCCTCGAACCGAACGGCTAAGACGGTATCCCGTTGTGCGTCCGAACGCGTCCCAAAAAGACACTCGGACGTCTCAATCGTTCGACGCGCGGTGCAGAATCACCGTGTTATTAGGTGGTAACTGTATTTCCTGTTCTTGTTCTTGCCACGGTCCGCGCCGCTCGACTCGAGTCGACTCGACTCGGCTCGCCGCGATATCTGCAAATTACTCGGCCGAGCGCCGCGTCGGCCGTGTTCCCGACCGATTCCGCCTTTATTATTCGCGGCTGCGCGGCCTTTGATACGCTCGCGCGAGAATTCATCCAAGAAAATTAACGTTATTAGCATCCGCGAAGCGTTCGGAGTCGACCGGAGAGCCAGGAGGTGGAGACCGATCCGAGACGGATAATGTTTCGCGGCGTGATTGAAAATGAACGTTCTAGCCGCGCGTATTCCAGGGGAGGCCTTGTTGGGCCGGGTGATAAAACACGTTTTCCCGATAAGTACCGACAGACGCAATTACGGTTATCTACAGTTAGGGTCACTAAAAAACCGGCGCGCGGGTCTCGCCGGTCTAGTTCGCCGTTGGAAGATCGCGGACGCGTCTCTCTCAGCGCGGCCGTTTCTCCCTTCGGAAGAGGCGTTAGGGTACGTTTACGGCTCTGTGTCGAACGGGACGGTAATCGAATAGTTTCCCTCAACGCGTCCCCCCTAAGTTCGCACGATTACGAACTCGCGTAGTTTCAGTCGTCCAAACTTTCGCGGAGATCGCCGATCGAATCAACTCCCAACAATCGAAAGTGTCCGTTTATCCGTTCAACGGTTGAAATCAAGAAACCGAATCCCGCGTCAACGTCTCAAACGCTGTAACAGAAAAATCCGCGCGGATCGATCCATCGTCGTTCGGATAATGAATTTATTCATCCGCGGCTTTCAATGTTGTACATCGATGTTGATGAAAGTTACCGTTACGGTGGTGTACCGGTGCGAAGAGTTAATCAATCGAAACGGTTTTACGGTGAAAGAAAGCCACGTATTTGTACGCCTCGGCCCGATCTCCAGTTTGATCGAATATCCGAGCTCCGCTGTAAACGTACCCTTATCCAGCGCATCCAGCCTATCCACGGAGCATCCAGCGTACGGCGGCAATGGCCTACGGAGCCTACGCCCATCTATTACATACCGTTATATTATATACACCGAGGAAACATATTTTGCCTACGCTTATGTCGATTCCCACCTCCAGCGAGCCGAACTTTTCTTTTCTATTCACCGGCAACGGATCTCGCCAGTGCGCATCCACGTGAAAATGTTGTCTCTCGACTGTTCCCAGGCTGGCCTTATTTACGAGAACGGCCGAAAGAAAGGCGTCTAGACGCTCGTCTGGTTTATGAAGTTATTACGGTTCATTAGGGGCCTTTCAACGTCCCGCCACTTAATTCCAGTTACCTACTTTATCGACACGTTGATTAATCGATTATTCTCTAGCTGGTTGATGTTGATCGTTAATAACCGCGCGCGTGTACCACTTAACTTTTATATTCTTAAATAACTGGCTTTATAGTAATGGATATTGATTATTCGGCTTCGTGGAAACTCGATCCTCCACGGAATGCTTGTTTCCGGTCGTTTATACCTCGCGGTTCTTTATTTTCCAGTGAGTTTGTTGCATATTTTCCCTGCTCCTTCGTCGTTGCGAATCGTGCACGGAATAAACCCGATTTCGTCGCGTATTCTCTTAACCGGGGTGCGAACGTTGGCTTTCGTTTATTTTAGGGGATGCTAGGCTGTTAATTGAATCGGGGAAGCACGCGATGCCCGACTAATTTGAAAAAATTGATAATTTTCATAACGATTTCGACGAATAGCAAGGCAACGAACGTAAACGAGATTTCCTTATCGACCGCGGCGAACATCAAAGTGTCGGCTCTCGCTGCGAGATGACTACACCGGCGTTCGTAACCTCTGTGTGTGTGTGTGTGTGTTTGTATGTGTACAGGAAGGTTCAGCTGACGGCTTGTATGTAGTCAAGATGGCGTCCGCGGAACAGGTCGGACTGAACAAAACTTGGGAATTATCGTTGTACGAGCTTCATCGTACGCCTCAGGATGCGATCACGGACAACACGGAGATCGCGGTCAGTCCGCGGAGCTTGCACAGCGAGCTGATGTGCCCAATTTGCCTGGACATGCTCAAAAAGACGATGACCACGAAAGAGTGTCTGCACCGTTTCTGTTCCGATTGTATCATTACGGCGCTACGAAGCGGTAATAAGGTACGTGATTTTACTAGAATCGCCGTGACACAGTAATCTCCTGTTCCTCATTCTTCGGCGTCGTGGAATTCCTCCGAAAGCTTTCTCTTCCGTTCCAAATAAACGCCAACGCACCCCGGGGGGTCTCACACCGATGTTTCTTTTCCCGTATTTATTGTGTACATCTTTCTTTCACTGTATCGTCGGGCAGAAATATTTCCAGATCGAGGCTTCAGTTGATTTCATCGAGTACTAGGAAATTTAATAAATGGCTCTGTTTAAATCGTAGTCGATACGCGATTCTGCCAGTTGTCGCGATTTTAGCGCGCTTTTTCAAGTGCGTCGTAAATACGTTGTTGCGTTTCATTGTTACGTTTCTGTTTGTCTTCTCGAAATTCGGTGCTCTGTCGATCGTTGAACAATAGGAACTGAGCTTCTTTTTCTTTCAATATTGAAAGTGATTCTGTTGACTGTTGTGTTACAAGTCAATGCATTGGAATGTCCACTTTGCACGAAGTTATATATCAGCATGGAGCTTCTTCGAATGAAGTTTCAAATCGGATCAGAAGTTAGGGATTCCAATTTGTAATGGTTCTGCGACTGGTAGAGGTTAGACCGTCCCAGTGCCTCAGAGAAAAGTCTAACCATATTGTTCTTCGCAGGAATGTCCCACGTGCAGAAAGAAGTTGGTTTCGAAAAGATCTCTCAGGCCGGACCCCAATTTTGACCTGCTGATCTCAAAGATATACCCCAGCAGAGACGAATACGAGGCACACCAAGAAAGAGTGCTGGCAAAACTGAACAAGTCCCATTCGCAGGCTGCACTGGTGAATTCTATAACGGAAGGCATTAAGCTGCAAAGTCAGAATAGACCGCAGCGGTCCAGGAAAAACGCAAACGAGTCTGAGAACGCCAGTAACGCGACCTCGTACAACAATTCACAGAACGCCAGTGCGCCTGCGACGCCGAACGCAGCAAACTCTGCTAATCAAAGCGACTCCTCGCAGAGCGCCACCGGGCCTCTGAACAATAGTAGCGGGGGTAATTCTCAAAATTCGAATAGCGTCTCCCAACCTGCGAGTAGCCCTGCTGTTTCCGGTAACATCGCCAGCGAGAGATCGAGCCAACCCGATTGGCCTGACAAAAACGAAACTGATCGTTTGTATGCTTCAGGCACGACGTCCAGAAACTCGACTACGCCGTCGCCCAACCCGGCGAATCAGATACCCAAACCTCCCAAGCGGCAGAAAAGCTTGCAGAACTCAGAGAACGATTCTTCTAGCGCGGAAGCGGAGACCGGAGGCGGTGACTCGATGGTAGACACAGAGGGAGAGGGACCCAGCGAACCCTTGATGCTGAACGAGATCGAATTAGTCTTCAAGCCCCACCCGACGGAGATGGCAGGCGACAATTCCTTGATAAAGGCTTTGAAAGAGAATAGCATTCGGTATATCAAAACCACAGCGAACGCGACAGGTATTGGAGGACGTTTTGTCCGTCTTTGGCTGATAGAGTTTAGACTGTTTTGATCGTTCGGAAATTATCTTAAAGTTATCTTTCCAGTGGATCACCTAAGCAAGTACCTGGCAATGAGACTGACACTGGATCTGGACACAGAGTTGTCCGAATCGGATAGGCTATTAAATTTCTGTATCTATATAGCGCCGTCCTCGGGTCAGCTGGTAGTGTTGAGCGGCTCGCAAACGTTACGACAGGTGAACGACAAATTCTGGCGAGTCAACCGACCACTGGAGATGTACTACTCGTGGAAGAAGACCTAGGGAAGGCCTCGAAAGTATCAGTCCGACGGGAGTTAGTCGCGTCGAGCTCCAGAAATCGCAACAACCATTCGTACTATGCGCGGAGTACAGAGGGCGAACGAACGCGTTATATCATAAAAGGATATATACACACATATATATCTACATATATATATATATTTTACTGTACTTCTATAGCCTTGATTAGGTACAAGGAACGGGTATATGGTACAAGGAAGCGAATTCCTCGTAACGAACGACAGATGGTGCAATTTTTATCTTCTTGGGACTGGTTGCTGGCATTAAATCCCCACGTTTTCACGGAACAATAGAACCGGGTGAAAAGAAGCTTTGTCGTTTACCTCGGTAAACGCGCAACAAGAGAGAGAGAGAGAGAGACAGAGAAAGAAAGAAAGAGTTTGACGCGTCTATCGAATGATAAAGTCGAAACTGCCATTCACACACCAGACATTGCATTGCGAATGAATCCCACAGTGCGCACGTTTCATTCAGGAGAGGATTTACGTATCGCCGAGAGCTCCAGTGACTCGATCGCGTGTAGTATTTATCCGGCAATGGCCCTCTTCCGACACAGGTATAAGTTTATCCGGTGCGCCCAAGTTACACGTAATACTTCCACCGAACCGATGGCCTCGATGGTTGAAACTAACTCGTTTAAGTAAGCTCCGACTCGCTGTGGACCATTCTGTATAGTTTCACGAAGAAATAAATCAATGTATATAACGAGACACGTCGCGCGAGAGTTGTCCGAATAATCAACGGGACGAACACCGCGTGTGTGCGTGTCTCCGTCGCAGATCAATCATCCTTCCGTCGTCAGCTCCAATTTTCTTTTTTCATTTCCCTCCGATTCGCCAGGATTTATTGGCTCGGCTTCCTTTGCCGCCCGGCTCCGCGGTGGCTCTCTGATAGAACAATCTAATTTTCGATCGCGCCAAGGATACACGGGAAACGTCTTTCCCGTGGCAGACGGAATAATCGATAAGAGCCTAGAGCCAGACCCCATCCCGCGCCCTCTCGCATTTCCACTGAACCGAAAACAATGCGAACGCTTCGGATAATGCCACCCTCTTCTAGTAAACGGGAAACCACGTTGAACCCCCCTCGTCGTTGCCTCGCCGTTGCCTCGCTCAGTATACTATTACCAGCTCCTTTATAGTCTCGATTATACGCCGACGTTTCGCTTTTAATATCCGTTCCCGCTGAACGGACAGCGTCTTTTAAATCGAACGTTCCATCTGGAGGCTCGGATGCACGGCCGGAAGAACTGATCGCGGAATTTCCGGGTATCCCGCTCGCCCTATCTTGTCCTCGCCGGGTTCCTCGTCCTTTTTCCCCTGCTTAACATTAATTAATGCATCCTCCAGCCGCGTTAGATTCACGGCAGTCTAGTAGCTACTAATTACAGCTTATGCAACCGAATAATAACCGACGCTCCTAATTAGCGCTTCGAATGAACCTCCTCCTGCACGATGCTCGCGCGCGCGAGCGCGTGATAACGGCTGATTCATTAATAGGCATCGCGCGTTAATTGCCGTATTCGCCTTCATAGAGGAAAACTGAAAAGATCCGTGTCCTGGTGTAGACCGGCAACCTCACTGAAAGTTCACCGAGCGTCGGATTATATGAGAGTCTAATCGATTCTCTTAATTACTCTCGTTAATCAAATTCATGGCATTAGAATTGCTATTCGTAACACGTCTCGAGTTACACGTTCCAATAAGGTGGTTCGCTACGAAACGACGTTACAGTTGTTTTCGATTTATTTCCTGGGTGCGTAGGAACGGGAGTCGGTCGCTCGCGGCGTCCGAGGAAGCATCGTCCGTGTCTTTCGCCTCCGTCGAACCACCGGACGACAGATTGAACGCCGATTCCTCTTCCTTGGCCGCGCTTCTCCAAACGGAATCATCTGCATCCTCCTGTTCGTCGGTGAATTCCTCGCTGGAATCCTCCTCCGAATATTCCTCGTCGAAGATGTCTTTCCCTCCTCTCGATTCGTTGCTCAGGAGTTTCCGAATCTCGTCCGGAGCTAACCTGAAAATTCATCGTTTCATCAGGGGAAGGAGAGCTTTCCGTTGGAGCAAAGAGAAATTAGACCCTCCAAGGATCGATCCTTTCGGGTCGTTCCGCTTTGATCCTGTTATCGCGGCGACGATAGACGACAAACGACAGACGACAGACGACGAAAGAAGGGGCGTCGTTATTCTTCGTCCAGCGGACGAGGAACCCATTACCGCCGATATATCCAGTCTCTATCCCATTTGGCGAGGACGCGTCGCGAAATCCCATCGGTGACGGAATAGATCGAATGACGTAACCGCTCGACGGAATACTAATACTAACGGCGTCTTATGGGGCTCCTTGTACCACAGCGGATATCCCCAGGGGTTATTGTGCCTGCCGCCGTCGGGAATCGAATTCTCGGCCGGCATAGAATGCAGCTTGAAATGCGCCGGCTCCACCGTTTCCTCTAATAACGCGGACACTTGTCGCGCGTAGTTCTCCGTCCCGGCAGTCCGTTCCAATCTGTGAAACGTTTACCGATCATTTTCGCGTACCCTTCGCCTGTTCAGCGAGTCCACCGAGCGCAGACGCGCATGCAAACTGGCAATTTGTCGACGGTATTGATACGCTATCTCGATGATATTTGATTTCACTCGTTAAACGAACATCAATCTTCGCTTTACCGCTAGAGAGGAATATTTAGATTTTTCCAAACTACGGTAATAACCAACGATCATAAAAACATACAGATTTCACGTGATTCATCCTCGATCTTTTGACATTATCAACATGGAAATGGTTGTGTCTTCTTTCCGAGTGGTCGAGAACTCGATATGAAACTCGGAGGTTCTTTAGAATTGAGTCTATACACGCGATGAACAGGTCCACGGTTCGAAAGAATCTCCCTTGATGCGGTCTTACTTGTGAACCATCTGTCTGGTAAACTCCATCCTCGGCGCGGTCCTCGCGGATCGAGGAACGGAGTCCAACGAACTCTGAATTTCCCCGGGTCGCGGTTTGCTCGCGGTCTCCTGTACGCCGTAAAAATGTCCGAAGTGCGCAGCGGCGTCCCGCGGAACGTTCCAGGTCAGCCTGGCGTCTTCTGGCCTCCTCGCGTTCCCCTGTTCATTGCCCGGCGAGCTTTTCGAAAAGTGAGATCTCCGCTTCCTCGCCGCGAGCCTTGGAACGGTAATAATCGTATATTAAGGTAATGGCGGCTCGATACACGAGAAGCTGTTAAACCAGGAGCAGAGGGGCCCGCGAATGGCCGCGGTGCTCGATATTCCCGGCGCAGCCTCGTTTGTTCTCCGTCCTGTTCATTAAATACCACTTTGCTGGAATTTCTCTGTGAAACGGCTTGAACGCGTTGATTGCCGGCGGGGGTCACCGATCACCGTTGACCACGGAATTAATTGCGGCGATTAATTTAAGTAAACATCGGCGTCGGCGAACTTTTCAATATAACTAATGCCGCGACATAAATCGCCGGGATAAACGGTCGCCGCGTATGAGAGCGCGGCTCGCGGTAGGGTAATTTCATATACCGTATATTTCACTCCGACATGGGAAAAACGTAGGAAAACTTGCGGCCAGTCGGCGGGTTCGAGGCGTTAGCCAATTTGCGCCTAGAACTCGGCGCGGCGTAATATTTCCCCGACGCTCCAACCGTTTGCGGTTTAAAGCGTTCTCGGCTTTCCATTCTGGCACCGGCATCGATGTTGCTTGATTTCGACGTGGCGTAACATGGTATTTCCCTAATTTACTCAAATCGTGCTTACGTTCAACGCGGTTCGAACTCCTCGCCGTGTAACGACGAGCGAGACTCGTAGGAATGATTATCGAAGTAATTTAATTACAATCAGTGATATTCAGTGCACGTTCAGGGGAAGGATTATTTGATCACCGCCAATAATTGATTACGCTTCTTGCAAATTACCGGTAATAAAGTTAGCCAAACGAGCTCCGTCCGAGAATAATTATAAGAGCGATGATATTAATTTAGCTACTGGAAGGAAATCGAATGTATATAGTTGTCCGGACGCAGAACCGTTGGTCGCAAACGGTTCAGGAACACTCGAAAAGATTACAATGAACCACCTGCGGAGAACGGCCTTTGTCCTAACGATCCTCCAATTGTTACAGTGTCGGAGCCTGGCGGTTCGCAAATAGAACGCAAGTTTTATCGTTGATTGGTCCAGATCGCAGGAGAGCCACGCCGATAATGAAGCATGGTTAATGCGCGCGATAATTACTCCGCGGTAATAATCCATTTCGCGATTGTTCCGTATCGGGTGATAATTACGGTTGGAAGTGCATTACTACAAATTGCTCCCGAAGAACTTTCTAACGGATGCTAACCTCCGCGTCTTAATTGCCCATATAAACCGTGCAAGAAAGTCTCCGGGCCGCATAAGAACACGCTATTACGCGTAAATGAGTGAAAAGATGCTGCGCACCGTTGGGAACGCCGACGGGTTCTCTCCGTCTAATCGCCGGCCGTTTCGTTCGGTGGACGCGATCGACACGTACCGTTGCGGAACATTTATTTCCGTTAGGTTCGCGGAAAAACTGCGTGTCCGCGGATTGATTCATCGTGACGGGCAATCTGCGCGAAATTACAGGTGAACAGGCTACCAAAGCGCGAGCACGGTAAGCGTCCGGCGTCCGGCGTCCGAAAGAACTCCGGCAACGTCCCTGCGACCGTCCGGCCGTGTATCAGCTGTCGACGACAATCACCCCCGATGAATAATTCATTTGACGAATCACGGATCCCGGCCACTGGGAACGCGACGGATTATGCAAAAATGTACAATTTCCTGTCAGCTCGGGACTCCGCCCGCCCGTCGATCGCCTAATCAACCAACGAAACGGACGAACGACTGATAACAATCGGCGACCATTCTCGGCTATTTCCATGGTTAAACGGAACCGGAAACCACAGGCAATCGTACACGAATCGTATTCGTTCGTCACTGCGGTGGAGCGTACTTTTAGGAACCTTATTTTTTTACCGTTAGATCCCCCGTGGCGAGCAAACTTTAAAGTGGATGACTCTCTTCGAAGATGATATTACAGTCAAGATAAGTAATGCTCTACGACGATCGCAGGAGTCGATCGTGAAGTTTAGTAGATATTTGGGTCATTTCTAGCGGTCATCGTGCGTTTCTTCGGCGAATTTTCTCAAGACAAATAATCCTACAGCTATTTTCGATCGAATCCACGAGCAAAGAAGTCGATCGTGCATTTCGGTGAAGGGTAGCTATTCCGGTCACCTCGTGGTTCGTGGTACAGTGACCGCAAACATTCCCGTTTCGGTTCGCAGAACGTGTTCCGAGATACGATTTCCGTGCTCTCTAAACACTGACTTGCGAAGCTTTCCCGCGCAGGAAGTCGACGAGCGTAGGTTGTCCGTGGCCAATCGAACATCCTCGGAAATCCTCGTCGCGGATTTCACTTTCGATCCTTCGAACATCCTCCCAGCTGACGGCAGCTCCTCTTCCCCACAGATTTCTTTGGTTCGTTCGCGCATGGGCATGCTCCCGAGGAAATTGCTAACCGTTCGTATTTCCTCGTTCGTGGGTCTCGTTTAGACCGATGCAATCGCATTGATTTACTCCGTAGCTCTAGCCTCGCCCCGCAAAGATTTCCGGTGGCCGAACACCAGTGGCGGCGGAGTCATGGCCGGCAGATTAATCCCGGGACGCACCGCGAACGTTTTAACGGAATTAGATTGGTACGTAGCCAATCGTTTTAATGGCTGCACCGATAGGGAATACGCGATGCTCTTTTTTTCTCTCGTGTCACGGCCAGCTCGAGCGACTGACCGCAATTAACCGATCACGAAACGGGGAACCGGAGTTCCATCGGTTCGTTTCGCGTTTTCGAGTGCGCCGAGAAGTTTCTAGCGTCTCGCACTCGACTAAACGAGTGTTTTATCGGTACGGAATCATCGTTTTCTCTTACACGTTCCGCCTGTGACTGGGCATCGGGGCTGAATCGTTTGTTTCTCTCCGCACGCGCGCGTCGCTGATTTATTCCGAGCTTTTCGTAGTTTGAGCATGATGAGTTGGAACCGTGATCGCTGTACGAAGCGATAAACGATAAGAAACGTTCGTCTGCGGCTCGGAAGACGCTCACACGTGTTCCCGGGGA